GATGCAATGACTGATCTTTGGGCATTGTGAGGATGCGGAGACTGATCATTTGACGTGGTTAACATGAGGAGACTGATCATTTGACGTGGTAAGGATGCGGAGACTGATCATTTGACATGGTGAGGATGCGGAGACTGATCATTTGACGTGGTTAACATGAGGAGACTGATCATTTCACGTGGTTAGCATGAGGAGACTGATCATTTCACGTGGTGAGGATGTAGAGACTGATCATCTGACGTGGTGAAGATGCAGAGACTGATCATTGGGCATTGTGAGGATGCGGAGACTGATCATTTGACTGATCATTTCACGTGGTGAGGATGCGGAGACTGATCATCTGACATGGTGAGGATGAGGAGACTGATCATTTCACGTGGTGAGGATGCGGAGACTGATCATTTCACGTGTTGAGGATTTTGAGACTGATCATTTCACATGGTGAGGATGCAGAGACTGATCATTAGACATGGTGAGGATGCGGAGACTGATCATTTCACATGGTGAGGATGCGGAGACTGATCATTTCACATGGTGAGGACGAGGAGACTGATCATTTCACGTGGTGAGGATGAGGAGACTGATCATTTCACGTGGTTAGGATGCGGAGACTGATCATTTCACGTGGTGAGGATGAGGAGACTGATCATTTGACGTGATGAGGATGAGGAGACTGATCATTTGACGTGGTGAGGATGAGGAGACTGATCATTAGACGTGGTGAGGATGCGGAGACTTATCATTTGACGTGGTTAGGATGAGGAGACTGATCATTTCACAAGGTGAGGATGCGGAGACTGATCATTTCACGTGGTGAGGATGAGGAGACTGATCATTTCACATGGTGAGGATGCGGAGACTGATCATTTGACGTGGTGAGGATGAGGAGACTGATCATTTCACGTGGTGAGGATGCGGAGACTGATCATTTGACGTGGTGAGGATGCGGAGACTGATCATTAGACGTGGTGAGGATGCGGAGACTGATCATTTGACGTGGTTAGGATGAGGAGACTGATCATTTCACATGGTGAGGATGCGGAGACTGATCATTTGACGTGGTTAGGATGAGGAGACTGATCATTTCACGTGGTGAGGATGCGGAGACTGATCATTTGACGTGGTGAGGATGCGGAGACTGATCATTAGACGTGGTGAGGATGCGGAGACTGATCATTTGACGTGGTTAGGATGAGGAGACTGATCATTTCACGTGGTGAGGATGCGGAGACTGATCATTTGACGTGGTTAGGATGAGGAGACTGATCATTTGACGTGGTTAGGATGAGGAGACTGATCATTTCACGTGGTGAGGATGCGGAGACTGATCATTTGACGTGGTGAGGATGAGGAGACTGATCAGTGGGCGTGGTGAGGATGTTGGGTGCTGACAGCGGAAATGTGGCAAAGATGCTGTCGGTGCATGGGGACTCTGCTCTTTATAAAAGGGTGCTCATACGCTCACTGATGGTTGCTTTGTCGCTATTGTGTAGCGTTGGGGAGGGTATATAGGAGACAAATGTGCCGGGGAAAAGGGCTGGGTAATCGGAGATATAGGAGATCCATCCATCCATCCATCCATCCATCTATTGTTTGTAGACAATGACGGCCTCTCAAATTCGTTGAGAATGCCACTCTCTAACAAGCCCGATGCTTTCAGTTGTTTCCCCATTATATTTCATAAATAAATGGTCTATGGATTGTTTTAATCGACTCTACGTCTTCACTTAAATTCTTGAAAATACCATTTGGCCCAAAGGCCCGTACATGATTAGACTTTTAGGAAACTTTTGCAGTAATCTTCACGTGAAATGTTTTTTAATGCAATGGAATTGTTTCTTTTGTGAACAAGAAACTATGCACTATGCTTATAAGTTCCGTGCCATATTTAATAAATCATTATTTCCATTTACTTATCATTTTCAGAAAAGATTTGCCAATGGTATGAAGCTTTTAATGCGCTTATTTTTTTTATAGCCTTGTAGACCGTCTTTGCACAGCAGTGGTTTTATACGAATTTGCATCCCAAGTGACTCTCGTGAGATTTGCAAATAAAACGGAAACAAACATACATGAACTTGATATTTATGTCTTTGAAAACAAATTTTTACTTTGACATCGAACTGTTACAAAATGTCTTCTTTCTGAATTGTCAAAAGAAACGAGTGATATTCTGAGATTTTTCAAAATTTCAATTAAAGCGATAATATAATTATAAAAAAAGAAGAGTTATAATAATGCCAGGCCTAAATGGCTCATTCTGTGCTTTGTTATTATTACTGATGGCAGCTTGAGCAATGGGGGTCTGAACCCTTTTCTAAACTAAAACCACCAAAAACAAAGCAAAGAAGAAGAAATATGGATTGTCTACTATTTTTGTCTGAGCATGGGAAAACAATGAACACATTGAAGGTGTTCACTACATTTCGAATTAAAGTTTAATACGATACCGTTTAACTGTGGACGTGGAGCCGATTATTTGGTTTAAATGGTGATATAATTTAAACGGATTGAGCCATTGATTGTTTTTTTGTTTTTAGCTTACCAGTATTAATTATTGTGGTGCGACTTTTTAAATATGAAATATATTTCTTTTGTGTTTGGGTCTACTTTTTATATTTATTCTGTTTATGTAATAAGTTTCCGGTCTCCAAATGACAACAGTGGATCTAGGAGGATTGGCAAATAGGGGCCATGCTCCCACACCCCCCCCCCCCCAAAAAAAAAAACCCCGAAATTTTTGTTGTTGTTGTTGAGTAGCCTAACGTCGCAAAAAGTTAGCCATTGCGTACACAATATTTTGGACAGAAAAATCTCCCCACCTCGAAAAAAAAATGCTGTCTGGATCCGGCCTTGCTAAATAATTACGTTTCTCCTTCTTTTGGTGTGGCGTTTAATGAGAGTAAAACAGCAGTCTAGTTAATCCGAAAACTTTTTGTAAAAAGACATCGTACACAAACAATTAATGTAATATTCAAATCAAGTAAATGAAAAATGACAAAAACCAAGAAGTTCAGTGTCAACTTTAAATCTCGACTAGTGCTTCTACAATTTCTTGCTTAATTTTCCTTTTTTTCATAATTTATAACCCAGATACATGTACACTCTCCACCGCCGCGCCATGGCAACCTCCATAATACTCAATAAGAAGTATCACGACTTGTCAATAGCGCCCTCTATATGTGAAAAGATGATCATGCCATGAGAATCTACTAGTACTGCATTTACTTGTTCATTATTGAACGACCCCCCCCCCCTCAAAAAAGGATAGAATCAAGCAACAAAGGCCCCCTCTCCCCCCAAAACCCCAAACCAACCAAACAAACAAACAAAACTTTGCAACTGCTGTCCCTACAGTTTGTAGGCTTGTAAGACCTCTAGTGGTGTTTACAAATTGGTCGAGTCGACACAGTCCTGGGGGAGGATGGTCTTACGCAGTGCAGAAATCCGGATCTATACATACGCTGGAATCGGGGCTCGACCCATCCGCTCCCACTTTTTTTATTACGGTCAAATTATTTTGCAACTAGAAATCGTTGTTTGCAAAGTTTGGACACATTCACACAATATTTCACACCATCTTCATTACAAAAAAAAAACCACCATGGATATGCCCCTGCCCTTCGAATACCCTTTAAGAGTGCATCTCTGCCACAGATAATTAAAAAAAAATTGTAAAGTGGAGATGAACATGATAGATAGACACAGAGGCAATATTGAGAAGTGTGTTTCCACAGAATTATTGTGCAATCTTCGTTTTAATAATCAAGTAAATACTAAAATAACAACATACATGTACATGTAGTATAAAATATTAACTAAATTACATACATTTCACGAAAACAAAGTATAACAAATTACGGTTTGTTATTGTTGTTTATCAAGAACTTAAATGCAACAGTTTGTTCAATGGAAACAAGTGACACAGTGTGAGACATATTACTAACATTATGTTTTAATTAGATTAGTTGATACAAAGTTGGAAATAACATACATCCCAAGATCAGTAACACCCCCCCCCCCATGAAACAAAGGTTTTGAGAGGAAGTTTAACATCAGGTTACAATTTACAAGTGAGGTTTTATGTGCGTGAACAGATGCGTGTCTCTAATGACCCACTGAAGATAATGTTCATTGTCTTAAAATCTAATAACTAATGTGATTTGGTTCTTCTCGTATACTTGAGTTATAACACCACATTGAGTAGTACAACAATCCCTGGTATACTAAATATATACATCATCAAAGATTGTGTCATACTTGACAAATCACCTTTATGTTTGGATACAATGCTATTCTATCAATCAAACGAAATCATAGCTTTACGTGGTAGAAATGTACATGTACAATATAACGTTTGGAATGACACCATGTAATAATCTTTATTTGTAAATCAATCTGTCTTGCATCCAAATCCATTTGCTTTCATTCAAATTCAATCAATTATAACCATGGGAAAACTCAATAAAAATATCATGCCTGTTTATGTGTACATGCATATTAATAAAGTTTTTAAAAATATTAATCAGAGCAAAGAGAATCTGGTGAGTGTTCTGCAAAAAAATACTCATACTATATTGGGAAATAATACAGAAAAAAAATACAGAGTTGCAGAGTCCAACAAATCCCTATTGCTACATGTATATGGGGTACATAAATTACTATACGTTCCATTATTTGCTGTTGTCAAGTAGCTGCAGCAAACTAGTTACTTGATGCTGGAGAAGTACCTACATCTTGAAGAATAATTCACTAAGTGAAATCTTTCATATTTTATTTGCTTTTCAAAATTGAGCATCCAAGATATAACTGATTCGGATGCATTAAATTTCCTGTATCTTGTATAGTACCAAATATATTTCAGTAATCACGCACTTCACGCTAATAAATAAATTCAACAAAGCCACACCTGCAAACATGTGTTTTTGTGTTTTGATTTCTACCACTGACTCCAAGGTGGGTATTTTGCAATAGGTAAACACCCTTTTTTTTTTACATACAAACCTCATTACATGTTCACAAATCACATCACAATGATCTAAATGTGTGTGCTGGAAGAGAATAATACTTTATGGACAACAAGACAATAACAGTCCATGCTGTTCAAATATTGTATCAGACATTAACAGTGCATATTGTTCAAAAAAGGTCTGGTAAAACTTACAACTAATATCAAGAAAAATTATCCTGTCATACTCAAAATATGTTCTTCAAGGAATGAAAGGATTAGATGCCAAACCCAAGAACAACAGCAACTGTATCAAGCAGAGGGGCAACTGCCAGCCCCCACCCCAGACTGACCGTCAGATTTTTGATTTTCCTTTTTTTCACTTTCCATAAATGGCATGATACAGAGGTCTGACACAAACAAAAAATAAAGAAAACCACGCAAACAAAATGCATCACACCAAGCAATTTGATTTGGCGTCCCCCAAACATCAAATGCTAAAAAAAAAGAAGTTTTGCGCAACCAACGACATGACTAGGGTTAAGCATAGGGAGGACCCGAGTGTGCATCATTTTTTTTTTTTTGAAGGGAGAATGTATACATTGTGAGTGTGCAATTCGATATTTCAAAGGGTTACGAGTGTAACACGTTTTAGTTGGGTGGCATAAGGTCGAAATCGTGTCAACTGGTTCAAACCACTAAAGTTGGCTATTCTTATAGCCCCAACATAAGATATTTAGAAGGGGTGACACCTGAAATTCTTTTGGGAATGGTGCTTAAATTGCATAAATCGCTAATGGTTAGTACCTGCAGTGTAATATATTCCCATATTTGGCAATGTTTGGGTATATAAATACACATATAGTGAAAAGTATGTTTTGGGGATTCCACTTACTGGTACATATCCTTACTTAAATAACGTTTTCTGCATCATACTACAGACTGGATGATACGAGGACATAATAAAGATCCCAAATGGCTAATATTATACCCTAAAGTTGTGCCCATTCACTTTTTCCTTGGATATCGTCAACAAGTCTCGCCAAAAGTTTGAATTTACAAGCTTCAAATTCACAAAGTCATTTACTGGCACTGTTACCCTCACAAAAATAAATCATATGATTGAGGACAGTATCATGATACTTAGCTACAAGAAAGGGGGAAAAATCAGGTGTCCGTAAATAGTGCTAAAATTAGGCGAAGGGTTGCCTGACGTGGGAGACCTGAACAAGTTCTAGGAAATCCGCAATATAAGACATTATTGTTGTTTTTAATAATTAGGTCTACGTCAAAACGTTTTCTTACCAATAATTTAGGGAATTTCCTTGAACTTGTTCAGGTTTCCCTTGTTAAGCAACCCTTCACCTACCTTTTTGCCTAATTTACGGACACATAGTTTTTTTCCCTGTTTCTGCTTTTTGGGCTATATATAACAATATTAGCATTGTTTACATGATTTCCCATAAAGTCTTAATAGGGTAACTGTGCCAGTAAGCGACTTGGTGAATTTGAAGCTCATAAACACTGAGATTTGGCAAGACTAATTGATGATCTCTGGAGACAACTGAGGTAAATGCAGCCAACTAGTATAATGGAAGTCATTTCAGATCTTTACCATGTTTACATTATCATTCAGTCACTTGTGGGCTTCATTACATGTAATTGAAGTAGGGTGTGTAAGGACGATCACCAAAATATACTTTTTAAAAAGTAAAAAAAAAAAATACAAATATGCCCAAACATGGCAAAAAAAAACATATTACATGGCAAGTGTTGATGATTTATGAACATCAGGCACCCTTCCCAAAAGATGTTCAGGTGCCACTTCTTAAAAATATCTTCTCTAGGGCTATAACAATCTATCTGCCACGTTGGTGCTTTGGACCAGTCGTTCACGATCTTGTAAAAAATGGGGTCTAAGCCATTCGACTATTTACACCTAATAAAAATACAATAGAACACAACAAACAAACAGCAATATAATAAACATTCTCCTATAGGTTTTATGACCACCCTTGGATTCTAAAACCACCAAGTAACATGTATACACTTAAGTGCAGATATGCTTCTCATATTCTAATGAACGCTTTGTTTTTTCATGTTCTTCCCCCACAAAAAAAATCTGCAGTGCCACAAAAAATTGTCTTGAGCCATATATGACAGCTGAACCTTGATGCGCTGGAGTGACGAGTTCATCTGTTCGGCAACTTGGCTGTTTATCGCCTTGTATTTTGAGTACCCATCTAGTTTGTACCCAACGGAACAGGCTGATGAAAGAATATGAAACAGAAATGTATTAATTCAAATTACTGAAAAGATATAGACAAATGAAATGCACTGATCAGGCACACAGACATGAAGTGGGTACTTGTGTATGTGATGAAGAGGTAACAAGAGGGAAATTATGGGACTTCATTCTTGAAGACCACATTGACAAGGTAAAGGGAAACCCTATGAAGAAAATTATGATTTCTATATTGCAATATTGCTATCAGCTTATGTAATGAAGTTTAATTGAACAAAATAAGGATGAATCCCTCAGGCAGGGCCACTTTCCAGCTTCAAAATAATTTTAAGATTAGTGCTGACAATAATCGTCATCTTCCAGGCTCTCTTGATGAAAAGGTTATTTTGCTATCCAAGTGACCCATAGGATTGCACCAGTTACTGTTAAAATCGTTGGTCTTGTTAATCAAGGGTGTGAGTGACCACTGATAAAATAGCTGAAAAAGGTGTAAAAAAAACTATACTTTTGTACACAGCAAGTGAGGGAAAAAAAGCTGAAATTCTTGAAAAAAAAGGCGAAATCAGCTCTAAAACTAAAATTTCACACCCGTGAAATTCTTCTCATATCTCATTTCAAATAACAAATAGCATTGTTTGAATATCTGCTGTCTGTCTTCACTCTATTTTGTGATTTACACTGTAGAACAGTGTACCTGTTGCACTACTGTAAGTATTAAGTTTAAGTATCGTTTTGGTTTGCGGTAACACCATGTCATAATAACTACTGCTAAGAAGATATTTAGTTCTGATAAGAACTTGTCCTGCTTATTATCAACGTTCACCAAGTAGTTGTACTTCTAATAGAACTTAAAGCAGGACTGTTCTTATCAGAACTAAAAGTACTTAGTGGAAGTTGATAACAAGCAGGACAAGTTCTTATCAGAACTAAATAATTGTCTTCTAAGCAGAATTTATTACCACAAAGTGTTACCGCAAACCGAAATGATACTGAAACTCCACCATGCAATGCCTAAAAGTATTAAGTATGACGTTAATTTGGCATTTTCTTCTTTTTTTCTCAGGCTTGTATTTTCATCATTCTTGTATTTTCTTGTTTTATATTACTCACATTCATGCGAGTAAGATGTGGCTTTAAGTGTCAGAAAGTGGACATTGATAATTATCCGTAAAAATATTTGATATGATTCCAACTGAATGGAATACACTTGTGTTACAGTCATCAAAAAAGAAATAAATAAATAAAAAAAATATACAATCAAGAATTACCAGTATGATTGGGCCAGTGTAGTCTGTCGATAAGAAACTTGGTCTTCTTAAACATGCCAGGCTCCCGATTTAGGCAGTAGGCATGAAGATGACAGGCGTTGTCATACACAATCATCTTTGGAGCTACGTAAAAAAAAAAAACCAACATACATTTGATGAGAACAATAATGTAAATTTAAGGTTTATCAAAAGATCAGTTTGCTTCCATGGAATGTGTGTTCAGCGACCGCTTGTTGCAACTGAATTGGTAGTGTGCATTTGAGTTCATTCCCATACCAGGCATGAAGTGAGTAACATAAGAAAAAGTCTGAAGAAGCAGATTTGCTACCATATGCCTTCATTGAGTGTTATTCGCAAGTCACCCATGTTAACAAACAAATGCTTCCACAAAAATGCAACATGCTTAAACAATTTCACTTCAATATTTTTTTTTTAGTGTCATACATTCATCGTAATTAAGTGAAAATCATTATAAAGGCCAAGGAGGATTACCGGTGCATAACGATAGGGACTGTTTTCTTAAACCTTTGTTTAGGTGCTGCAAACAAATCGATGATCTTCAGTTGTGTGCAAATTTACAAATGTCAATGTAAGTTATAAATCATGACTGAATAAGCCTCTGTACTGATGACGTCACACTCCGTTTACGTGTGCGCTCTCCTATGGTGCTCAGTTGACCGTGGGCCCCCACTGGCTCCATAGGAAAGTGCACATGTAAACAAAGTGTGACGTCATCAGTACGGAGGCTTATTAAATCAACAGCTATGATTTGTTGAGGAAAACACTACTTACGTGTCTCAAATCGTGTGAGGAGCAAAGTGAAGGGCACATTCGGTGATTCAAACTGGTTCATAATTTCGAAACCATAACAGATTCCTGAACAAATACAAAATGAAAGACAGTCTTTAATAAAATAGATAGGATTATGTGTACATGTATACTTAAACAGCAAACAGAATGTTGTCACGTAATAATCGTTTCCTGAGGACTGCTATGAATTGTGGCATAATTTGGCCTTTGAGGGAAGCAAAACTTCATGAAAACCTTGCCAGAACAGAAAGTCTTCGAAATACAGGAAATGGGGAACATTGTTTATGCTTTGTAATAATAAGTGGAATCAAAGTTTCAAAAAAACAGGTAAAAATCTTGTGAGAGCCACACGAAACCAGAAACTATCGCATTTACATCACACTTTATATTCTCATTAAAGTATCAATCACAGTAATACTAAATTATCCCATTGCATTGTCATGGAGCCAGACATATTACTACTATTATTCAAACGACTGTAATTACCACTAGGGTAATCCAGTCGGCTTTGGTGTAGAGAAATTTGGTCTTTGGCAGATTGTACATTTTATGATTGCCCATTAAATTATTCTTAGAGAAACATACACATGGACAATACTTTTCAAATTATTGCCAGTGCTGTTAATACATGTTTTGGATTTCCCAATGTGTTCCTTGTGCTTGCAATGTGGTAGGTTGCATCATAATTGCTGGTTCAAATTGACTTTCAGGCTGTTTTTTTCCCCTACCCAGCATTACTTGTTCATTGACAATAAATTTGAGTGCAAGTATTACCATGGGGACAGAAAGCAGCAAATACTCCAGGTGTCATTCTCCCGTAATTTTTGGAATCCTTCCTGCAACTGGTCCTGGTGGTCTTCAAGCCATCCATTGCATATTTTGGCCTTAACCGTTGTTGGGGGAAATGGGGCCAAAAACACATGCCATCGAAGTCGTCTGGTGGTGGGTGGTCTGTGCTTCTCTCAGCCTGAACAGCAGCAGGAGATTGTGAAGAAGTTGACTGCTCAAATGGGGCTACTGCCAGACGAAGCAGCTCACAAAGGACAGGAAAGAGTACTTCAGGAAGAACTTGCTCCGATGCAATGAGGTCAGCTATTATAGGACACTATGAACAAAATATCAATTCAACAATATACAGGGTGAGTCAAAAAAAGATGAACCCAAACCCCTAAAAATGTATTTACATTTGTGTGAAGCTCCAAAATAACATCCACTTTTTTGGCGACAGGCCTTCAAAAGGACATTGTTCATCATTTTTAACTTTTAAACTGAGGTTTTACAATTGTATCTCAGGTGATGTTTGCAGACAAGAGTGATGAAGATTCTTGAAATTGCATTTTTGGGATGTGACAGGTTTTAGGGTCATTGTGCTTAAATGATGATATTCTTTTAATGCATTGAGCAATTTCAGTATTTTTTTTATCTAAACGTAGCTCTTGAAATTGGCAAAGACGAAATCGGCATTTTATCAGTTATCACATATTTTAGATAATATTGTGTGATAGAAAACTTTTAAGTTTTATAAGAATATTGAGTAACTATTGAGCACTTGGTAATTTCCTCTTCTGTTTTAACTACAAAGTTGAATGCTGGTAGCACGGGCAAGCCATTGAAAACTTCTTTAAGAGTGCTAGGTGTCAGCACTGACATCTGAGCAAAGAAACATGTACACATCAATTAAGGCCAAGTAAAAAAAAATGCTTAGCATCATGCCTTTTTGAAAAACAAGGGAGGATGCCCTTTTCCCCCCTCCAAAATGGCTGCCAGACCGGGCTATTTTTCAAGATGGCCGCCAGTTTTTGTTTTTAAATGACCATCACTTGAATTCAGGAAATGACAAACCAGCTTTATAAGGGCTAGATGCAACAAACAAGCCAAAATGATGTCATTGTTTAAAATGTATCATTTTTTACAATTAACAAAAAAGGAAAGAGGTGGCCTCCAAAATAGAAGCGGGCAGGAACGCAAAACATGTAAATTGTTTAATTTGGCCTACGACAGAATTCAATATCTCATCTTCTATTACCTACATGTACAAAGTACTTCTCCCACATAATCATTCCTCAATCTCTTCGATGTCATGTTTCAATAAAGTTCGATGATGTACGTTGACCACCTTCAACTCTTCTTTTTTCATTCATTAGCATCAGTTTTTTTTCACATAGCACAATGCGTTCATCCCATTATTTTGTAATGCATGTCACTGTTGCTGTTCACGTTTGTTTGAATATTACCGTTAATATAATTTTTAACAATCATTGTAAATATTAAGTTTTGCTGAAACCAAATATTTTTAGTCCTTGGATTTTTTAAACCATAAAACGGAAATGAATGAATGAATGAATCCCATGTTCTTGTATGGCCTTGTACTGTGTTTCCATTTATCCTTTCTGAAACTCTGTTATGACAACAATGTGAAGCCATATCTGAGTTATTAGGACTATTCTTCAGTTCTTCAATGAGTCCTAAATGCTCCCTAAAGTCCACTGCTATTTGCTCAAACTGCAAACCACCCTGGATATTCAATGCACTATTTGCTCTTATCCATTCACAAGAATACTGAAAACAGCCAAAAGGAAAATATGCACTCCACTATCAGTTTAAACTATCACGTGCATCTGAAAAGTGCCACCATCCAAGGTACATGTATGTGTGTAGGTTCCTATTCCATTTCTTTCCACCCTTTGAGATGGTTAACATAATTCTGTAGAGCTGTGCAATTGTTCTGTCTAGCATGTTGTCATTTTGAAGAAAGCAATAAAAGAATGACATTTCCAAGATAATTATAAGATGACACATTTTTGGAGATATCTGTAATAATATATTTTTTTTTTATTCAGGAAAAACTTGTGATTGATTCAATGCACATCCAAGGATATTTGTTATTATTCCTTGCTTCAGAGCATGATTGCATAGTTGCAATCGGCTGCATTAAAAAACGTTTGAATTTTAAATCAGGAACATAGTATGCTTTTTGCTGAGTATTCATCATTCACAAGTTACATGTACATGTAGTTATTAAGCACCTTTCTTTAGATTTTGAGTACTGTAGTTACATCAAACGGAAAATATGCACACTAACAAATAATACACCATACTGTTATACCTCATTAATAAGTATCTCTCTGTACCTACGTAATCTAACTATTGCATGGGGATTTATGCTAATATTACAATGGAGCACTAACCTTGTTTGTGAGAATAGCCATAGCATTTAAGTCTTTTCTTGGGGAAAATCCATGAGCCATCTTCTCCAACAGTTCTAATAACTCTGCCTCTGGATGGAGCAGTCCACAAACTGGAGAAGTTGCAGACAAAGCTTGCAATAACGGTTTGTAAGTTGCAGGTGGGGCTGTTGCATGTCCAGTTGAACCCAGCTCATTCAGAAAAGGGAGTAGGCTGCCTTGATGTTCCTTGCATCCATCAATAAGCATCAGGAAGTCATTGGGAGGAAACGGATGTGCCTCTGACGATCGGGCAAACTTCTTTAACAACTTCCTTGTTTGGGTGTCAACCAGAAAGATGCTTTTTCTGTAAACAGTATAAAGAGAAAACAGTAAAAGTAATTCACATGAACATTAAATCATCTAGCTAAGCGTAATGTCAAATGAACAATTCATACAATTTCCAGTTGAGACACAATCCAAATGAGACAAAGCCTTCAAATGCATGAATCACTCTGTGTTAATTAATTGGCATTAAAAGAATCACAGGATTACCATGGAGTGCTGTTGCATCAAAGTTTGGAGCATTGAATTCATGATGTAATCCTACAGGTGGTGGGTTCAAGTCCAGCCTGGGTTTATCGTGTGTGTGCCCTTAGACAAGGCGCTTTGTCACACATTGCTTCTCCCCATTCCTATTTTAGCTGCTTTGCGCCTAAATTGCAACAAAGAGCTGTATACTATGCAGCGAAATGGGATGGTCTTTGGAATATGTTTCGTTGGCCGAATGAGAAGGGTAATATAATGATGCAATCAATAATGGTGAATACCTGCACTTTATAAATACCCCTAATTATTATTATTTGTTTTTATTATTACAACTAATATAAGCTGTATTGTAATGTAAGTGAACTCTTTTGTGGAATCATGATTCTTTACAACAAAACTACTGAATAAAGTAGCTGGAAAAATTAGAGTCCAGAACACAATTATAAGCCTTATCTGCTTGACGACTGTTTTGCTTCTTTGGTAGCCTTCGGCACATTGTCCTTCCACAGCGATAGGTCCTTGCGAAGGGAAAGGTGGGTAGCATCACAGATGATTATATCTGGCTGTGCGCCACACGTTTGTTCCCTGCAGATAAACTGCTCGTGGTAATCGATGTCCAGCAGACGCAGGAACCCATACCATGCCCATACAAACTTGTTGTAGTGCAGTTGTGATGCAAAAGAGCTATGTCCAGCATCATTCTGCATTTGCACCCAAACACTGTAAAATCCAAACATGGGTGATCTGAGGAGACAGATGAAATACATTGTATTCTTGCAATGTCAACTTACAGAAAGATGCCCATGTACAGTCAAGTTTCTATTAGCAATGAATACTACCAACTACAAGAAAATAATGAATAAATAATTCATTATTGTGCATAAATATTTCATTATTGTACATACATGCATGTTATACAGAAGGAATTTGATGATGGCTGTCATTGTGTTATATTGTAAACATGTTTTTGGGTTTTTTTTACATCCTGAGCCAAACGTGAGATCGTATATCACCCATGGCAAAATTCCCAGAGGTCCTAATCCTATAGTAACTTGTATTGCCATTCATGCTTTCATTGAACATTGCTCTGTGATGTGCTGCAATGATCCAGTTTTCAAATCTCTTTAAGGCCAAGAAAAATAAAACACCAGTTGATCGTCCCGGAGGATGAGGGTCTTTATATAGCCCTTTCAAATAATTCTAGGAATGCACACCTTCCATACAGAAACTGGTACATGTACTGTCTCAGGACGGAGTGGTCAATCAAGTAGGTTGTCATGTTGAATAGGCAGTCAGACAAGCCATCATATTGAAGTTCAGAGTCACACATCTCATTGCTGCACTTCCTGAAGAAAACTAAATACAATATGGTTCCTCAAAATCAAAATTTGATGTACAACTAATGACATAAAATTGATCTACACACTTCGTACATGAAATGGTATAAGTTGAAAATTCACAATTAATTTTCTTTGGAATTGAACAGTGTAGTAGAATTTACATTGTGAACCAAAATTTTTACTGTAGGAGATGTACAGACCTGAAACGTTATGTCATTGAAGGTTTTGGATGTTGACAGATAGTGTGCCGAACGGTGTTACATAAAAACGTATTTAAAATGTTAAAATGTTTGACTAGATATGCATGATGCCCCTTTTGAAAACCATTTCGTCTTCCAATCTTTGACATTATTTCTGCATGCATACAGTATGAGTCAAAATGGAAGCTAAAATAAATGATTACTGTGGTGAAAATTATGAACACATATACAGGGTGAGTAAAAAAAAAATAAAACAAAAATTTGGGACCATTTTTTTAAAGTGAAGTTCTGCATATAGCGCCTTCTTTTTTTCCACACTGAAAAGGTTTATGTTGTACTCAGTCATTAAGACTTAAGCATCGTGCAGACAGGCAAGTCAACCGTTTATTCTGAAGTTTAAAGTTATAAAACTATGTTCTTTGTCAAAATCAACAAAACATGAGTAATTCATACTGGGTAGCAATCAGTAAACACCAAGCACGACTTGCTTTACTAAAATTGCTCTCACGTCGTTTGGCTTGATCAATGACAGATTATTACTTCTTTTCTCAATCCAACAAAATACTCCTTCAACCTGTTATTAAAATTTAAGATACATGTATGTGTTTGCAATATTCAACAACCAAAAAATCATTTATCTCGAGCCTGGTTTTTGACTTGCATTGTATGTACACCATTTATATTAAAATGCTGTCCAAAAGAATCAATCAATGTGTCCCCTGCAGGTCATCTATGTCTGAAGCTGGATTTATAGAGTTCTGAAGTGTGACGTCATTTAGAACTAGAGTAGTGCAATCGAATGGAGTACGCGCGTGTTGGTTCATGGGCTGAATCACGCGCTAATGCCTTTTACACACATTCTGTGCACGTGATGTATTCACTTCAATACCGTAATTCTATAGGAATGAAAGCATGGAACATTGTTGACCCTTTATACATAACGACATCAAGTAATTCTGACATCTAAAAAAAAATGTATTGTGATATACATACAACTTTTGGAGAGGGGAAGGACACAATTAATGTACATAATAACATGTTTTTCATACCTGATGCTCGATGAATTGACTGTAGAGTGAAAACAGGATATTCACCCTTCAGGTAGATGTCATTACTCCATGATGCGTGACAGCATGCGCACATACCACCTGGTGTGGGAATCAGGTGAAGATTGCCATTGACTGTACAACCCCGTTGCATAACAGGTTTGGCAACCATGTCTTGTAGATGAATGCTCTCAAGCTGAAAGGGAATGCGCTTCCAGGAAGCCACTGATCCTGCTCCTGCTTTCCTTTTAAGAGAAGTTGACTCCAAAAGAGCAGACATCTCCAATAAGAAGACCGGCAAATCTGTCACTTGCTCAAGAATATCCTTGATCTTACTGATGTGCTGACAATCGCCCCTCCTGCATGTCAAACACTTCAACCCATTGCCCACGATGTCAATGACGGCAAATGATTGATCCGTAACAATGACCGCAGCACGTGGATTTCCACACACAGGCCACACATCATTGAGATTGGGAGGAATTTGCTGTGGCATACGGAAAAAAAACCCAACCTTTCTTTACCAATGCATAGGAATATATATATCTATATGTACACTTAAAAGGGTAAATATTAGGCCAAAAAAAATAATAGTTGTGTGTCCGATACCTTGGCATTTAAAAATAGGGTAGGAACCTTAGGTCGATAGGAAACTTCATATTTTGTTTTGGCATTTCTGGTGCGTACGATCATATGCAGGTGTCAGCGTGTAGTAAAGGGAGTAATTGAAAGTTTTCAAATTTTTTCCCCTCATTCCCCCCCCCCCAAAAAAAATAAATCAGGACCAGAGCTGTAAAAATCAGGTAGCAAAAATATTTTGTTTGGCCTTATTAATGAGTTGGAATTGATGCATACCATCCAAAATGATTGAAGTTCAAAATTCAAGTTTATTATTCACACTAAAAGGTGAAGAGATTCAGCTTCCACTGGCATTTCTAAACAATGACATTACATAACACCATTAAACCATGATAGAACACTAACACTAGAACTCACTCAGCTCTCTTCAGCTTAATAAACTCAAGAGACCTGAGAAATAGATTACAGGAATATTTCGTCGCACAGCTGACATACCGACAAATAAGCAAAATCCCTGTTTCAAGTAATTCGCGTTTGAAGTTGGGCATTTTTCTGGGCGTCCCTAATGTTTCGATAATAACCCTTTTGGTGTATATTCAAAATAAAATAGGAAATGTAGTATCCATCAGGTTAGTTGTCCCACATGTTTTCATTCGACCATAAATGTATTCCTCAGTTTGTCAAATTACAAAAATCTCAGTTTGTCAGATCGCACTCGCACTGCATATTAATTACGCATTCAACATGAAACATGCAATGTTATTTTGATCATAATACAGGAAGATAAGTGCACAATGAATTTAGTCTTAAAAAGTCACCGTTTTTGACAACCACAGTAGCACATCATTTGTTTGTACTTTGAACGCACTCCTTACATTAGCTGGTTACCAGGGACATTTTGTATTTGTCACTATGTCACATTAAGGATTTGTTACTTTGACTGATTGGCCTCAGGCCGGGCTCCGAATCTCAAAATCCAAATAAAAATTAAGAATTTTGGCATAAATACTTAAAAGAGCAACCTTTAAAACCACGAAAGTGACAAAATCTCAAAATTGCCAAAATGGTTGATTTGCTGGTTTGTCAGCTCTGCGACGATTTGGTCTCCAGCAGCAGCAGCAGCAGCAGCATGGGGGACACCTCATCCCCAACAAACACCCCCTCTGCCCTTGAAATGCGCTAGGCACTTTTCACAAGAAACATAGAACCATGAGGGACCAACAAGAACTCCAAACACAGGAAACTAACATCACCACTTACCACATCCTCTTCAAGGCCAGATGCGTGTGCATAGCTGTGGTCTGAAAGAAAATATTGAAACAATTTTAGTTCACAATTTATCACATAACACTGGAAAACATTCTTGATACAAGTGCTCTAAGGTATATGCGTCTGTAACAAACAACATTCAGTTAATTGTTGAGAAAATATTTGATTCAAGAATAAAGCACTACAAATCAAGGTTAATACATGTACTCTTATTTGATCATTATACAGAACATACTTGGATGCAAGGACAAAAAAGATTATTTGTTTTGCAGAGGGACTTTTAGCGCATAAGGGACAGATATTGAAAAAACTGGAAGCCTCTATACATGTTCATGAATCTCAATATTTAAAGTTTTTTAACTGGAAACATAATTTAAAAACTTTTTTCAGATTTGAATGGTTTCCAGATAATGTGTATTACCAAAGATCCATTTACAATATTAACAAAACTGCTATTTATGGAAGCTATATTTAGTTCAAAATGCACCGTTATAGAAGATCAGTGCATCTACAAAGTTATATAATTGGTTGACATGGTAATTATTAGGAGCCGGATCAGTAATTTCCATGTATTTTCCCATCCCGAAATCAATAATTCTTGACTTATAATGTAGCTTTATTTCTTTAGCATTTCAGAGTCATTTGTATATATAAATAGTTAATATTAATGTTTGTCGCATATTTCACAAACACGATTGGGACCCAGTCTTTAGGTCTGCTTTAACCAGAGATTGTATTACAGTGGTTGTATTCATAATAACTGAAGTCAACTGTAAACTTGGAATGGCAGGTGATGTACCGGTAGGTTTACCTTGGCTTTGATGGTGAGCTGTTATCCCAACATTTTCGTCAAATCTAACCAGGATACCAGCAAGGCAGTCGATGTGCAGACATCCCGGTAAATCTATGAGAAGAATGTTCCGCATATTTAGCCACCCAAATGTAACACTAAGTCATAATTACAATAACATCTACACATCACATTTGGGCTATGAACCACAAAGTAATAATAAAAATAAAAAATTAATAAAAAAAGTAATAAAATAAATAAACATTACAAAAAAAATCTTTGGGAGACATTTCCACAGGATTGTGCCAAAAAACTAACAATCATTTGTCATTATCCTTCCCCCATGACAAGCAATGGATCAAGCCTTCATTGTATTGAATAACGTTAAAATTCACCCACAAATAAGAGTTATGATTTTTAGGGAGACATTAAAATGTATGGTGTCTCCATAAGGTATAAGAATAAAATTTTCTCATGAAGGGTACAATACCATGTTTATATTAATAATAATAATAATAAAAAATAACTACTAAAAATGGTACCCTCAGGGAAACATTCCCATAAACATGTGATTTAATTTGTCTTCACTTTTCTTAACCCCAAAATGTGTATGATGACTTGACAAGAGAACTCTAGAAGTTGTGGAAGGTGAAGGTAAAAGGTGATTCTGGTCATTGTGGGACCCTCAGTACTATTCCTTGGTCCCAGAAACAAAAATCTCAATGAAATTGGTACAAAAGCGGCTCTTTGGGAACAGGGATCTGAGGCATTCAGACACATGCACCGCCATGGTCCCCTTTTTGGTTTCAAACTGCACACCACCTTGCATGAGTCAACCACTGTAGCCATGTGGCCGTGGGGACACACAGTGATGAAATAAACACTGCATAAAAAGAAAACCCTCACTCATTGGAGGGGTCATCATTTTGAATCTGATAAACTTATGGTGACGTCAGTTTTATCTAAAAACCTTACGAAAATTTTGTTACATGTATGTACCTGCATTTTGCAACAAAGGACTGCAAATCATCAAAAATGACAATGGTTAAAAGTTGCAAGCTCAAAAATTATGCGAGGAAGCATTTATTACCCACACATGCCCGTAATTGGCC